TCTCCATTATTATTGTACATCTATCCATTTAAACACACTGAACATTACTCCTAACAATCCACTGAATCCTATATATTTATACATAAATAAGCCTCTGATTTTTCTCTGTTATGCAATAATCATATCCTAAACTGTGTTCTATGTTATAATAATAATAATAATAATAATAATAATAAATTAATGATTGAGAAGTATAGAAAAATCTAATTAAAGGTTGATGAAAAAAGAGAACATAAAAAAAAATAAGCTTGACAGTCTTTAAATTCTTTATCTTTCTCGTTCGTCTATAATCAATGCTAGCATTATAACAATACATTTCTCAGGCCGAGAAAGCAGAACTGCTTGGCGTTGCATATTAGAACTCATTAAAGCCCGCTAACATTTTTTTTTTCCTGAGCTTAAAGTATTACTCTCATGTCTTGATATGAGCATGAGATTATATTCTTATTTAATGGTCATATATTTCTTCAGAAGATAGTTTACTTTCTTTTTAGTGTGTCATTTTATCCATACCACATGATATTTAGGGTTTAACATAGATGTTCGATCAGTGTAGCTTTGATAGTTAGACCCTTAAAATTGGTTTCTAAGGTGATTGTGTTTAAATGGTTATAAATTCATGGGGTAAGATACTACATATCCAAGTTCATCATTGATTAACAATAAGCTTAAAATAGATTTTTCTTGAGTCAACACCTGAGCAGTTAATGAACAGATGGTAAATTAGTTGACAATATGTTTTTGCTCAAACTAATCCAACTCTGCCAATAATTCGCCAGAATAACCCCTTATCCTTGGTAGATAAAAAAGAACAATTTTCCTGCTAGATCCTTATTTCAGTGGGATTGTGGTTCAATTTGGTCAGATAATTGAACTTCCTCTTTTGAGACCACAAACAAATGATGGAGACAATGCTATTTATTCCACAAGCTGCCCATGTTGGGGTTATGTACAGCATTTCAACGCTTCTACAATGTACAATCCTACATAAACTAGGGGTGTGCGCACACTTTTATGTGAAAGACTGAACTACGGACGAAGTGGTGATGAGTCCCGAAAGAAGGCCAACAATCAAAGCACTGTTGTAAGTGGTTGGTTCACCTTGCTGAGAGTTGTTCCGGGAGTCTGAGTAGGTGTCATTTAGGAATGGTCCGCCTACAAGTGCTCCAATTGCCAAATTTGGATTGGGGTCTGTCGAATTAAGCCATTTAAACCCATCGGAGCAGCCTGTGTTTGCATCTCTCGGAATTGAAGCACCTCTGTGATGTACAAATTGAGGGTAGTTGCTTCCATAACCAACAAGGTAGCTCATCTTCATCGGATTGCTCCCTAAGACGTAATCCGCCTAAACACAATGGCAATGAGATCAAAAGAAACACAACATGATCAACGTTTTAGTAACAAATAAACATTCTTGAAAATATTGATTTGTGTGGAGCCTGATAATATTATTCATTTATCTATTAACTTTGGATATTGAGCATTCAAAGCCTAGAGGTACATTGAGAATGCATATTTTTTATTAGGTTATGAAGTATAACAGAAGATGAAAGAGAGCTATACGGATTGAGAGAGGCGTGAGATATCCGTTGTAAAGTGGTGTCAATGAGCCAAGTCGAGCCGAGAGCCGAGCTGGCTCGGCCCTTAAGGCCACGAGCTGAGCTCGGCTCGTGGCTCGTGGAGAAACGAGCCACGAGCTCACGAACCGAGCCGGCTCGTGGCTTGTTTGCTCATGGGCGAGCTCGGCTTGGCCCACGAGCTCGTGAATTAACGAGCCACGAGCCGAGCGGCTCGGCTCGTGGCTCGTTTGATTTTAATTTTTTTTAATTTATTTTTTTAGCTTTCTTTGTTTTTTTTCACAAGCCAACGAGCACTTGTGTATTTCACGAGCCGAGCCAGGCTACCAGGCCGCTTGGCTCGTGGCTCGGGCTGGAGTGTATTTCACGAGCCGAGCCAGGCTACCAGGCCGCTTGGCTCGTGGCTCGGGCTCGTCTTTGACGAGCCGCTCGACTCTTTTGACATCACTACTTGTTCTTGATTTTTGGATGTAACTCTCATATCAGACGTCACTATAAATTAGTGTTCCTCTGCTTTCCTTTTTTTATTTCTTCTTGTTTGTTAATGCTCACGGAAATGGGGATTAAGATTAAATCTATAACAGAAAAACTGGGACCCTGGCCCCCTTCCCCTAACCAACACCACCCGAGACACACAAGTCTGGTAGGATAATAAATACCTGTGAAAGAGCAAACTTGCGTAGGTCACTTGGTTGATAAAGCTCCCCATTACAGTACAGGGTTTGTGTCTGAGATGTTAGCATGTAATCACTATAAACGAGTGTCAGAAATGCAGAGGCAACGGAATATTGCAGTACATTCCACTCTGACACCCATATGAGGCCACCTGCATCAGAATAATGAACGTGAGATTGCTTTCTAATAATGATTTGAAGCGACATCAATGATTTTAGTTTTAATTTAACATCAGAATAATGATTTTAATTTCAAAAGCTTGGAAAAATGACTTGATCCCTGTAGCATCTTTCTTTTAATGATTAAAGCTACATTAATGATTTTAATTTAAAGTACAGCCTCTTATAGTAAATTCTACACCATATAAAGAAAGAACAAATAAATTATATGGAATGTGATATTGATTTAGTTAACTCTTGACACTTCATAGCTCTTGGACAGGCAGCATCAGTGACAATTCAGTCATTTTCATAATTTTGCCAAAAGCGCGAGGTTTCGAAGCTGGCCAGAACCATTAAAGCTAGGAAGAAGTCTCCAATAAAATTCCAAGGAATGAAGGCAAATTTGATCATCAGTTAGAGCATGCACAAACTTATACAGGTTAACCAGGAAATACTTGATGGAACTTCATGCATCGAGGTGGTCCACAATATTAGTCAATTACATTTCTGCTACATTAAGTAGATGTTTTTTTTTCCAACGAAGAAGCTATCTGGATTGAAACATTATTAAATGTTGATTCAACCATATTTGTTATCTCAAGCAATAAAATAGCATTGTCTACAGATCTTGATTCAACATCATGAAATTATTACCATCTGTTCTTTGAGATGTAGGTGTTCTGGAATTTGGTAAAAGCCCACACAGAACAGCCTCAGCAGTCTTTCTATACAGCTGGAGGGCAATATTTTCTGCACCTAGGATATCTTTTGAACCAAAGAAACTTACTCTGGATAGTAAAACCTGTTGAATTAGAAACAGACAAAAATAAGCTCCTTTTTCTCCAATTAACGAGCCAACTATTATGCTTTACCACGAGCATCAGTTTTTCCAAATTATGGATTGATACATGTGCTCACTGATTCTATCATACCATAAAATATGTAGTGAGAATATATGAAGTATCTATTACTCCCTGTTCTTAGTTATGCCCAAGAATATAACATTACTCCTAATTTAGCACTAGAAGTCTAGGATTAGATAGCTTGCTAGTGCTGACCTGTCAAACTTGACAATTCAAAAAAACAATAAAATTTAACAGCAGAGTACCTGTGTGCCAGCCAGTTTGTTGTCCCAGCAAAACCATGTCGGCATTCCCCAATTAGCAAACGAATTCCCATTTTTCACAGTCACATATGTAAGATATGAGTGGTCTCCTGTAGCATGGTAAAGCCAAGCAGCCGCCCACAAGAGTTCATCACCATATCCTGTAGAGTTGTAATACTTCTGCGCTCCTGGGATATTGAAACTATAAGTACCCCTGTAAGTATCTGCAAAATTAAATAATTGCTCGGCGTGCTCCAGAAGCAACTTGGAGTATGCAGAGTTCTTTTTCTGGAACACCAAAGATGCAGATGCCATAGCCGCTGCAGTTTCTGCTGCGACATCTGTTCCAGGATAAGATGTATTCACTTGTGTTAGAGGTCTTCTTTCTGTCATCACTTCAGGTCTTTCCCAGCATTTATGATCCAACTCAGGGTCACCAACCTTCCATCATCACCAAGAGAAATTCATTAGTTCATTGCCTAAAAGTGGAACAAGTTCAATTAGACAGTTAGAGGGCCACTATTAGTTGAATTATATTCAAGAATGTGCGGCAACTACCAAGCTTGAAACACAAAAAGCAATCCATATGCCCACCTGGAACAGATTTAAGTACCTACAATGTGTGTGGACGATGAAATTGCTAGATGTGAATCAGCAGTATTATTTTTAAGAACAAAATTAGCTTGCTCTTAAAGAAATGTTGAAGTAAATGCAACATGTTATTTTTTTGGATTTGGGTTCAACACCTACAACGCATGATTTTCATTGAACTGTCGTTGTCGGGTGCGCTGGTGAAGTAGAAAACATAACAAAAACTAGAGTTTAAAATGAATTCAGGACTCAAATGCTTAACTAATAATGTTTTGAACATATTTTCTTAAAATTTTTCTAATGTTGATTATGCCCTCTCACTACTATTCGCTTGGAATGTCCAAAATCTCCAAAAAGGAACTTTACTTGAGCACTGAGAAAATTTTTAATGTTCCTAATCAGAACATAATTTTTGTGAAGTACTTATCTACAACAGAAAGTTCATTAACTAGTGCATCTATTAGTTCAATCTTGAAATAGATAAGGTAGATAGAAACCTGAATGTAGAGCACATTGCCAGATGGGTGGGAATTAATGAGATAATCAGTGATCCATTTTAAAGAATCTTGGATGTGATCCAGTTCCTTCGCTTGTTTCATATTGTCTCCATACTCGAGTATGGCCCATGACAAAATTGTTGCAGTGAATGCCATGGGAAATCCAAACTTCATTAAATCCCCAGCATCATACATTCCTTTTGTCAGATCCATATTTTCTTCTTTTCCATCTTCCAAAGCAGAATCTCCCCTCCAAGAAATCTTATTATTCACCAACTTACCAGCTGTGTAGAAGGACAAAATCCATCATTGAAGTATGTTACTCCAGCAACAATTTAATAATGTTAGCTACTTTTAAGGCATAAATAGTTTCCCAAATAATCGAGCAATAAGGCCACTATGTTCGGAAGTAGACAACTAATTATTAAGTGTCAAGGAGACATTAACAACTAAGGTCGACACCAAATCAATGCCTAAATAGCACCTAAGTCGAGGGACAATGAGAAGACATAAGAATCACCCACGCCACACAGGCACACAAAGTATGTTTGGCAAAGCCTTTTCAAGCTTATAAGTTGGTCAAAAATCATTTTTACCCACACAATTCATAGGATCCATAGCTTATATCCACTTTTTATCCACATATTCTGTAGGATCCAAAGCTTATAATCTACAAAAAGCTTTTTACCAAACATACATAAACTTTATTATAGTTCCACAGACTTGAGCATCGAAGGGCTTCCACTGTGCAACACCAACACCAACACCAACACCACCTCTTATGAGTATTTTGCACGTTAGTCTCGGGAACAACACTAGTTGGAGAGTTTCACACATTATGACTGCTGCTGATTATGATGTAGAAGAATAACCAAATTAACATCTAACAGTGTATGGATACAGACATTTTAGGTTAGGGGACACAATCAAATCATGTACAAATCGAATACTTTCTTCTTGATTTTTGAATAATTCATACTTTGAAATAATACAGATTTACATTTAAAAAAACATTTCTTCATTAATATTTTGCTAATCATTTTCATCAATTTGATTTCAAATAGTCATTTTATTAATATTTTGTTCATTACAAGAAAATGCATATTTATGTTTAAAAATCTTATAATGTGTTTGATACAAACAATCAATTCAAGTAATCGAAAGGAAAAACATATAATTAATAATCAATCAAATAAACACAATTCGTTAAATATAAGTCAAATTAGATATAATGAATTCAGACAAATTCTATATACACAGTTTGATAGGAGAAAATGCAAATTTAGGTTCTAATTACTTGAAAATTTGATTGGAAAGTGAAAATTTGTAGTGAATGTGATAATTTATAGAGAAATTATATACAAATTTTAAAAAATTAGAAGGGTTAAGATTTTGTCAAAAGATTTGAGGAAAAGATTAAAAGAGAGCAAGAGAAAAATTCAAATTTATTGTGATTTTGCCCCTATTTGGTAGAGATTAAAATCAATTTTTTATTAAATTTTGATAAAAGTTAAACAGTTTTGGATTTCATGAAATATGTTATTAAAATTAATTATTAACTTTGATTTAGATTTCAATCAATAACAAACATGATTTTATAAATAATAATAATAATAATAATAATAATAAATAATTCTCAGAAGTTGGGGGTCACGTCACCCCCAGGACCCCCCGGGTCCGCTCTATTTGCACTTTTTAGCTTGTGTTTGATATCCATTTTGGGGAAAAAAATGAATTCTGAAATAATGATTGATGGAAGAATGTATGGTTAAAAAGTAATGAAATTTTAGATTTATGTGTAATATTATTTTATTTGAAGAATGTATGGTTGAAATGAAGAAAGAGAAAAAAAATGAGAATGAGAATGGATGTCAAACGGGGCATAAGGTGAGATCAAGAAATATGTACAAATTTTATATTTACCTTTCTGAACATCAAAGAATTGCACAGAGACGCTGAGAGCATTAGCATACTTATCAACTATAGCCCGCGAATGCTTTGGAGCACGCTGAAAAATCTCCAATTGATGAAAATTCTTCCAGAGACTGATTGAAGATGCACAGAGGACAAGAGCTGCAATTACCAGCACTAGAAGCCACCACCACCATCCTTTCGACTCCGGCGTTTCAGATTCCATTCTGTGGAAAAGTCCTCTGCACCTAACACTATTCTCAGAGGCAATTCATCAAACATATCATCATTCTACATATGATTCGTGTGGGCCGGCAGTTGATACCGTTTTGGGCTCCAACATGCAGTAGATAGAGGTAAACCGGCAATTCTAGATTGTCGTTTGTGGAGAATTTTGACATCACTAAGCTTGAAAATTGTCTTCTAGTGTTAGGCATCAGGTTTTGCATTAGGAATGATGCCAAGATTTATATATTGGATATAATTCTAGAGATTCTAGTATGAGATTCCATGATGAACAGTTGACTACAGTTTCGTCAACTAATTTTGCTAATAAAGATATCAAATTCAAATGGCAGACAGGCAAAGTTTCAATTTTTCACTTTCTGCAACTTGGGACCTCACCCAAAAACTGTCCAACTGTAAGAATAGTTATGAAAATGAAAATTATCCAAGTCTTCAACCTTTCTCTCCCGTTCTTCTTTTGGCATAAACGCCGCTGACGTTAACCCATTTAGTTATGCTAGATGTATACAATGAGTTATACAATGAATTACACTCCCTCACGTGGAGGGGGCCCATACACCATAAAATATTTGTGAGCCCCCTCCATGTAAGGGAGGTGTAATCCACTGTGTAAATCACCGGATGTACATCTAGCATAATTCTAACCCATTTTTATAGGCTGAAACTTACTCAAGCTGGAACATTGTGCTCCCATTCAAAAGCTCAATCTGTAAGAGTTAACAAGTTCTGGTATTTTGTGGTTGGTAACGAAGTTTGTGAATTAAAATCTAGATTTTAATCTAAATTAACGTCAATAATTAATTTTAATCACGTGTTTCATGGATTCCACAATTTTTTAATCACACATTTTCATCAACTTTTATCAAAATTTATTAAAAATATAATTTTAATATCCACAAAACGAGGGCTTAATTAGGGTGAATAGTTTGTCTTGGAGTGTCGACTAATGTATTTAGAATGCATTGAATAAAATCAATATTCTAAATAACGTAAAGCGTAGAGAATTATGGAGGTCAAGTTTCGGCTCAAGTGTTAAAAAAAATTCTTAGTTTAATATTATTTTTAAATTTTAATTTAAATCAATCTAACAATTATTTAATAATTAAGGAAAAAAAACATAAAAAAAGTTAAAAAGCATAAAAAAAAAAAGAAGAAGAAGAAGAAGCACACCTAGGGGCAAAAAATAAAAAAGTTCAAGGCGAAGCGTTTAGGACCCACTTCGCGCCTAGGCGATGCTGCTTTTTAGAACACTATTATAAAATTGTGTGAAAATTAATTTTGTGCAATTATTGTCCTTTTAAATTTACTAGCTCGACCAAACAAAAACTAAAAACCGTGATCATTCACACTAAATTCTTAGTGTGTGTTTTTATGTATTTGTCCTAGATCGACTCTAATCTCAATGAGAAATTTCATTTGTACACTATTAGGGGACAGTCGAGAGAGTTGACCCCTAATAGTGTGGCTCGTACGCATAGTATGGTTCGATCTCAATTTATGAAAAGTGTCTATGTAATTTATTAATTTTTTATTTCAAGGAATTCCTTTGTGTTGCGGAAGAACAATCGAAATAAGAGAGAGAGAGAGAGAACAAATGTAATCTCCAAACATGGATGGTTTGAATTAGGGGTGGGCAAAACCCGATCGAACCCGTCCAAATTGAACCAAACTCGACCAGGTTGGTCGGTTTTTTTGTTGTTTTTACACGGGTTGGGTGAGTTGGTTGTGTAGGCGGGTCGGGACGGGTCGGGTTGAGTCGAGTCGGGTTATGGGTTAACTCAAGAAAATCGAATAAACTCGCCCAACCCAACTTGTCACTTTTAAAAAATAATAATAATAATAAATAAATGAAATAAAATACCTAGAAAAATAAAAGAAACCTAAAAAAATATGAGTAGATAGTGTAACTGTAATTACCTTCCTGTATTTTAGAGGATGAGCTTAGTGATCTTCCTACAAGAAATGTAGTATAAGATTTTCATGTTATGTTAAATGCATTTTACAACCCGCCACTTTAAAAAAAATAAAAATAAAAGAAAAAAAATTCCTAAAAAAATAAAAGAAACCTAAAAAGAATGAGTAGATAGTGTGATTGTAATTACCTTGGTGTATTTTAGAGGAGGAGCTTACTGTTCTTCCCACAAGAAATGTAGTATAAGTTTTTCATGTTATGTTAAATGTATTTTGTTCTTTGTAGGCGCGGCTAATGAGGATTGAATAAGATAATAGATAATTTTATTTATTTATTTACTTACTATTTAATATTATCTATTCGAATTTAGTATAATAGAAAATTGAACGACTTTAATTTTTGTTGAGAAGTCGTCCCAAATAGACCAACCTAACTCGACCGATACTTGATTGGGTTGGGTTGGTTTCAACCTTTACACGAGTTGGGTTTGGATTGAGACAAAAATCGTCCCAACCCATGCCTACCCCTAGTTCGAATACTGCACCAAGATATACTAAAATGAGAATCTTGTAAACTTTCTAATACTTATTTTGCATGAATTTAACACTTATAAAAAATACATCTTGGAGTACTATGTCAATTTATATTCACTTGTAATTAGCTCTAAATGTATGAAAGATGATATCCCACAAATTCTCCAACTACTTGGTGTGTTTTCTAAGAATTGGATTCACTATTTATTTTTTATGTTGCATTACTATTTTCCCATTTTAAATATTTCATTATCAGTGTTGGGAATTACAAGCTAAGCCCATGTTTGACGGGGATTAAAATATGATTTTTAGTATATTTGATAAAAATTAATGGAATGTATGATTTAAAAGTTGTGTATCCCATAGTTTCAATTAATTGTTAGTTTTAACTTATTAATAAATCAGAATTTTAATTTCTATCAAATAGAGGCTAAATATTTTGAGTCCTATCAATAATATCAATAGATGTGAGTACAAGGGTGTCAACAAGCCGAGCCACGAGCCGAAACTTGAAGCTCGGGCTCAGCTAGTTTCGGCTCGTGACTTGACTCGAGTAAAAATGGTTTGATCTTTTTTTGGTCCGAGTCAAGTTGAGCAAAAGCTCGGCAAAAAAATTGAGGCTCAACTCGAGCTTTCTGCTTGGGCCATAGCGACCCGAGCCAGCTCGTTTTCTATATATATTACGGTATATCGTATACATTTTCAGGCAGCTGCTTGCAGAAGCTATCAGTGTGAGTGCTGGCAGACAGCTATGACAAGCTGCCTATTTTTATTTTTTTGAAATTCAGCTTGTTCGGGCCAAAAATAGTCGTTGACATGGGCTTGTTCAACTCAAGCTTTTCTGGGGTAGAGCCACGAGCTGCCCGAGCTGTCGAGATTTTTTGACATCTCTATGCGAGTATGTATTTTACAAACATAAAATACATGGTTTTTCGACCGGTTCACTTTTTCTTCTGAACCGGTCAACTCGATCCTACAAGCTGCCCGAGCCGTCGAGATTTTTTGACATTCCTATGTGAGTATGTATTTTACAAACATAAAATACATGGTTTTTTGACCGGTTCACTTTTTCTTCTGAACCGGTCAACTCGATCCGGTTTTGAAAACTTAAAAGAGTCCTGATCGGGAAATACTAATACGCCGCAGTCCTCCTCTTCCCCTTGTCTTCTCCCTTTTATTTCTTTATGCTGCAAATTCTCCCACTCGCTCGCATATACAGAGACCTTTCTTTAAGACAGCTCTCTTTGTACTCACGACTCACGTGTTTATATAGATAATCATATGTATATACAATCGCTCACATCTGTTAGTCTTTTGAGGTGAGGCGTTGTGAACATTTTTTTTTCCCTTTTTTCGGGAGAAAATGGCTGCAAGGGTTGCTATGAAATTCATGAGAGAGTGCTTTATATCTAGGAAGCTTAAATCAAATAATATTACAAGGCATTATTTTTCCACTGCCGCTTCGAATGCTAATTCTCCTAATATCCCCAAGAAAGTTCCTCATTTTTCCAAAAAGGTAATCCCTTTATTCTTATTTTTAAGTAGGCAATGCAAAAATAATCTTTTTAGGCACAAAAATGCTGGGTTTTCATGGAATTGGAAAAGGGCTCCTTTAGTTCATGTGTCTGTTATGTCTGGCGAGCATGCACGCTCTTGGGAGTATTATTGCATTAGGAATTGTCCCATTATTTTGGTATTCTTCTATAAATTTAGTTTTGTTTGCCAGACTTTAGACGATACTATACAAATTGAGTTACTCAATCTCACAGTGCCAAACGATTGAATTTTTATGACTTTTATTGGATTGTGCTTCTTGGTTTTCAATTGAGAACCAATTAATTTCTTTGTTATGTTAAAGGAAAAAATCTGAATAATAGCTTGTCACACTTGCACTGCAGGGTATGTTACTCACGGGAGCCACCATGGGTCTACTTATAGGTGGAGGTGCCTATGCCAGTACCGTGGATGAAGCAACTTTCTGGTATTCAGATTCAATTTCATAAAGGGCGTATTTCCCACCTGTATTCAAACATTACCCCTAAAGTGAATGAAGAGTTTGATTTGGCTTACTAATTATGTATCATATGGCATATTTTCTTTCAGAAGTTTCTCTGATGATTAAATATGGTGGCTTTGGGGTTTTGTTACTAAGAAAGCTTTAGGAATACTATTAAAAAGGAAGGAAAATTTTAAAGTCTTCGCCATGTGCATAATTGACTTTAGAAAGGGTTTTTAATAGGAGGCTATGCTGGGTAGAGAATGGTAGCTTCATTTATGGAGATTTTTTTTTTGAAGAAAACTAAATGTGGAGAATGTGAGAAATCAATTAAAAGATGGTCATATTGCTTCTGTGAATTCCCTTAAGAATTAAAACTTATATTCTGTTCCCTTTTAAGTCTCCACTCGAAGTGCTTTATTTCAGTAAACAGTTGAAACATTCATTAGTTATGTGATTTGCCTAAATCACATTGAATTTTCTAACATTTGTAGAGGGTCTTGCTTTCCTGCCTTTCCTCCCATGGTAGTAACTAATACGCCTGCATTGTGTGCCAATCACAACTTTTGTATCTGATAAACTTGATGTAAGATAGCTCGATAAGATTGGATTTTAACTAGAATTGATTGCCAAAATAAGCTAAAGGTCAGGTTTGATCATAGAGTGCTTATAAGCGGAGAATTCATAACTGTTTTAGGCAGTGAGCAATAGCTGTTAATAGTAGTCTTTAGGAAATTGGGGCTGTTTTGGACTTCCGATTGTGGAGCAATGGGATTTATTGCATCAGGGTGATTGGGCTTTGCAAGGGTTATAATTTGTGATGAAGCAGAGGAGGAATAGGTCTGAATCTGGATTTAGAGAAGGAGAGGGAACAGAAGGGAGAAGAGAAGAAGAGATGGAGCACTTTTCACTGTTGTTTCATATGTGAATCTTAGACAATTCAGCTGTTTCGGCAAACTATTTTTGTTCAATCTCTTTGTATGCCAATGCAGACAATAGAAACATTTCATTGTTTACGTTGTTAATATAATTAGAGTTGGACCGATCTTCATTGTTAGTTGGGCACAATTTGAAGTCTTTTTTATGCATATTCTAGGTGCTTTGCTTGGGATCAAAAATTTCAAGTTATTTCACAGTTTAAATATTTGTTGTAACTATAAATTTGTGGGAATAACCTGTACAACACATATGACCATTGTGCAGTGGTTGGCTTTTCAATGCAACGAAACTAGTCAATCCATTTTTTGCATTTCTGGATCCAGAGGTTGCCCACCGACTGGCTGTTTCTGCCGCAGCTCGTGGATGGGTCCCAATAGAGAAAAGGCCAGACCCACCAATATTGGAACTCGAAGTTTGGGGAAGGAGGTTCTCCAATCCCATCGGTCTTTCTGCTGGTTTTGACAAAAATGCTGAGGCTGTTGAAGGCTTACTTGGTTTAGGTTTTGGGTTTGTGGAGGTAGGATCGGTTACTCCAGTCCCGCAGGAGGGGAATCCAAAGCCTCGTATATTCAGATTGCCTAAGGAAGGGTAAGAGCGCATGGTTTAACCTATTTTTACCAATTAAAGTTTATTTTTTGGTGTATTCTATGTTGTATAGCATGAAGCAAGGCTTTGTTTTTAGCAAAGCAAGGCTTTGTTTTTAGCATGAAGCAAGGCTTTGTTTTATTTGTCGAACGCAAATCTCATGTTTAAAACTCTTAATGCATGTTTACAATAAACAAGATTGTTTAAATTCTTTTTTCTTCCTTAATCTCTATTGAACTCCTTACCAAACAAACCATTAGCGTTTAAACTGATTATATATCTGTTTCAGTGCTATAATTAATAGATGTGGCTTCAATAGTGAGGGAATTGTTGTTGTTGCAAAGCGGTTGGGTGCGCAACATGGTAAGAGGAAGTTAGAAATGTCAAGCACTACATCTTCTGTGGGTGATGAAGTTGTACATGGAGGGAAAGCTGGTCCTGGAATTTTGGGGGTCAACCTTGGAAAGAATAAGACCAGTGAAGATGCTACAGCAGATTATGTACAAGGAGTTCATACATTATCCCAATATGCTGATTACTTGGTACATGTCCAGTTTATTTGTTCCTTCGAAGTTTCAAGTGCATATTCTCTTAGATTCAGAAACCCATCTAAGTACAGATGTTTTTACTGTTTTCAAATGAAATATCCATTTACAACTGCTGCGTAAGATGAATTCTGAAATGGTGCGTGACAAATTTGTTAATTCATCTTTGGACACATTTGTTGAACGGAACCTCACCTTGTAGGTTATTAATATTTCATCTCCCAATACTCCTGGACTTCGCCAACTTCAGGGGAGAAAACAACTGAAAGATCTTGTTAAGAAGGTTTTGACCTCACTTCGTTGTCAATCCGATTAGTTAATGTATTTTGGAGAATACAGTACCTAATTAAGTCAAAGATGTAGTTTTAACTTTATCTTTGTCAAGGTTCAAGCGGCTCGTGATGAAATGCAATGGGGTGAGGAAGGCCCGCCTCCTTTGCTTGTGAAAATTGCTCCAGACTTGTCTAAACAAGATCTTGAAGATATTGCAGCAGTATGTACATATTATTTTTCTGACTGAAGTTTTTACTCCGTGACAACCCGCTTACAACTTGTTCTCTGTTCCTGCAGGTTGCTCTTGCTCTTCGAGTAGATGGATTGGTACGGCTTTTCTGACACATTATAGTCTCTTCAACCATTTTGCCATGTTCTGTTTATTGATTTACAATAATGTATCCATGATTCTATCTCTTGACTGCTTCTTGGCAACTTACATAGTAAGATCTGGTGAATATGAAACAATTAATTTATTTTTTATGGAGTAGACATATAAAGCAGCTTATGACCTAATAGTTGGTTTTCTCAACCCCAACCAACCTTCACCAAAAAAAAAAACAGAGGGAAAACAGAGAGATAAGAAAAAAAGGCACTTACACTCAAGTCCATAGTTCTGAGTGTGCTTGATGACTGAGAATCTTGGCATGCTTAAATCATTTTGTATTTTGATGCTTGTAGATCATATCAAACACAACGATTCAAAGACCAAATCCTGTTAGCAAAAATCCAGTTTCGGAGGAACCTGGAGGCTTGAGTGGGAAGCCACTGTTTGATTTATCCACAAATATACTGAAAGATATGTATATTCTCACAAAGGTATGCTATTTTCGCAACTCATGTATTTGTTTGAACAGATAGTTCCATACTGAGTGCAAATCAGTTTAATTTACCAAATAATGAAGAAATTATTCAATGAAGACAAATGAACCAGGAATAGCTTTAGATAAACACCAAAAACTTTCAATAAAAATTTGCAGTTTATGGGAACAATGGCAGAAGGTTACAAACATTTACATGTAGCATATTTCTCGAATGTTGAGAGTTTTTACGTATCTAATTTTCGTTTTATAATTTATTAATGATTTTATTTTCATTTTTATTTGATTTGCATATGTTTGGGTTTTGTACATTCCATTGACGTCATTGTCTTGTTCCTCGATAGGGAAAGATTCCTCTGATAGGCTGTGGAGGTATTAGCAGGTAGTAATACTCTACCATTTACCAATGTAATTTCTACCATCTTATCATTGTAATTACTGAGCTTACATATTCTCTGTCAGTGGTGAGGATGCATACAAGAAAATACGAGCTGGGGCGATTCTTGTTCAGCTGTATACTTCTTTTGCATATGGCGGGCCTGCTCTTATACCTAAGATAAAGGTAGATAACTACTCCAGAAATTTGAGTTTTTGAATACTGAATAACGTTGGAGTATATCTAGACTTAGGAAAAATAGTTGTTCGGCAGTTTGAACAAGGGCCGAACAAATAAGTATAAGGTAATTTCTAGGAAGAGATGAGTCAAATTGGTTAGGTATGATGATGAACTTGATCTTCATAGTGGTCGGGAGATTGACCTGGGTTTTCTCTCTATTTTAGAGTGAACTCGCACAATGCTTGGAGAAAGGTGGCTACAAGTCCATCTATGAGGCAGTTGGAGCAGATTGCAGACGGCCTTAATGTATTAATCCAATTTTTACCCAACACCCTCCTTCCGTACCCTGTTCTGTTGAATAAATTTTCAACTCATTGAATTTTTTTTCCCGGAAAATTTTACTTGGCAGTTTGTTTTACTCATTTGTCAGTTGTAGGGATTTAACAAATGATCTCGAGTGAAAATTTTGATCATTTTTTGAGTGTCATATTGTATATCAAAGTACGGATAAGATTTTACCTTCAGAATATGTTCAATGTAGAATTTGGAGTTATGCTATTGTCTTTTCAATGTATTTGGATTACCTCAAGTCGAAGATCATAAAATTAACATGAGCGTTAAGGTTATTTCAAACTATTCAAGAAAATAACTTATGTTCGATGCAAATTTTGGAGAACAGTCGCAAGTCCTCTAAGTAGAAGCGTTATTTCATTTAGAACGCATTGCGTGAAATTTAAATTGGTGTGATGATCATTCTATTAATTAACTTGATTAGCAATTAAAAAAACACTAATCTTAGCCTCCCGGGGCACATCCAAGTTGGCAAAGGATGGGCACTGCTGGGCTTACAACCTCAGGGTGGGGAGTTCGATTCATGGATGGAGCAGCTGAGTGTTGTAATACTCAATTTGGGTGGAGCAGTTTGATGATGTAATATCCATGGAGGAAGGCTCCCTTGAGACCAAGAGTATAAAGGGTGCACAGACCCTGATGAATTTAGGCATATTCTGCGGTTAACCTCCACCCATCACTGAGGGGTCGGGGATGGGTGGTCCAAGATATAGTCTGATGTAAGTTAGGATACTTGAATATCAAAAAAACAAAACAAAACAAAACAAAACAAAACTAATCTCAATCCATGAGAAGTGCCTGCAATAACTTTTCCCAACGAATACATTTGTGTCTTGGTAAGATCGGACAGTTACAAGCAAAAAGAATCAAAATTAGAGAAGAGATAAACATGGTTTGTCCGTTGCTAGAATCTGTTCAATTTGACTGTTAAGGTCATTTAAAATGATATAATTGCCAGTAAACGGAAGAGAAAAAAGAAAAAAAAATTATTGCAGTGGAAGTCCTAATATTTTCAAAAGTACAAGTAAATCCCAAAAAAAATTTGGATTTACGTGTAATATTACTTTATTAAAGAATGTGTGATTGAATAGAAGAGAAGAAAAAATGTATTTTAAAAATAATGAAAATCAAACAAGGACGTAGGGTAGAAAGCACATATTATTGTCTAATATTCGTGCATTAATTATTTTTGGAATTTTTAATATTCATACAACTTGGATAATTAGATCAAATCACTTGATAACTTGGTAATTTTCATTATTATTTAAATTGAAAGTAACATAACATCCAAATAATTTTCTGATCCAAAGGCTCTTTGAACAATTTCCATTCAAAACTTCGTTAAGTGAAAATGTCAAAATTAGGTAAAGGGTTGAACTAATAGAATTTTGAACAGAAATCATCTAAAGGTCTTCAGCTGCCAAAAGTGATAGGTTTGGATACGTTTGTAATTTTTGAAAAGATTAGGAGCCTAGGTGCAATTTTCCCTTTTTCATTAAGCAACCATGAACCGAACCCAACTGCATGACAAGAACCGGACGCTAGGATCCATTCAAATCCCAACGGCTAGTTTCCTTATTAACGATGAGCCAAGCCGCCAGAACACGCACTAACGGTCGAATTTCCTTGTTTTCAGCCCTAATCTCTCTTCCCAAATTCTCTATATAACCTTTTCTTCATAGCCCAAAAAACGTCGATCAAAATTCAGAAACTTTCTGGCGACCCACGTAATATTTTCAGAGGACTTCTTTATTGGATCATCAACACCACCACACCACTGCCTCCATGGAAACCCCGTCATCGACCAGAAGAGTGACCAGATCACAGACGTTGGATGCTAAAAACAGTAATAATGGCAAGATATCCATGACAAGTAATCTTGATTCAGAGCCAAATGTTCTTGAATTGATTTTTGATATGGCTTTCTTTGTTTTTGAGTTTTTTTTCAGGCAAATTTGAGGAATCTAAGACGTCTGTAACAAGAACAAGGCAGAGGAATAGTGCAAAGCAACAAGATCGATCTGCCCTTATCGATATTACAAATGATTCACCAATTGTTGGGCTTGCAACGGGGAATCTGGATACCCCATCATCAACAATGTCCAAGAAGAGAATCAAGTTTCATTCCAAGTATACTTCTACACCAGGCTCGGGTGAGGCGCTTTTGAGAGGTCAAGTCAAGACCCTTCTGCAGAAAGTTGAAGAAGAGGCAACGTTTTCGAAGATCTCCCTAGAAAAAGGGCCTTTGTTTAACCTCAAGTGCCTTGTAAACTCTCCCATGAATCTTCTTGCCCCAACTCCTATAAACACGCCTCAAATCTTAAATATCAGTGAATTGAATTCTGCTAACCCATCTCCAGTTGAAGACAAGTTTGTGATTTCTCAGGTTTGTGTTGTTTGATTTCTTGTTCTGTTGATTACCCTTTTTGCCTTGTTTTATCAAACTTTATAGTTCTTTTTTGTGTGTGTGTGTGCAGAATGGAATTGATGAGAAAAAAGAGGAGGGAAGTGAAAATGAGAAGGATCTGATTACAAGGGCACTGGATTTCTCAGAGAAATCAGAGGGGTTCGAGTGTTCCTCTGTGTTGACTTATCAGGGATGTATTAAAGAGCAGCAGCTATGTACTGACGATGACGATGATGATGCATCTTCTATATGGTCTATTCAGGTTAATGCCAGCAGCATTAGAGATGATGATGAAGAAGAAGAAGAATACGAGGACGAGTACAATTATGAAGGAGAAGGAGAAGAATGCGAGGAGGAGTATGATTATGAAGGAGGAGGAATGGTTGATGAGTTGTGCCAAGGAATGACAAAGATAAGTGTGGATGGAGAGAAGACAATGGGAATATTTAGCGGTAAGCATACGAGGTTTGAATACAACAGTGATGGTGAGCTTCGAGGGGAGGAAGACGAAGTATAGGCTAAGCCCTAAGCCGCCTCTCAAGGAAAGCATCTCCACTTTCCTGAGAACTGGAAAATGTTTTTGTTGATGATTTTGATTACACATTTTGACAAATAAGGAGATTTTTCCATCTTCTATTCCGTGGCACACACCTCCATTAAGTAACCTAAGCTTTTAGATTCTACAGTGCAACGTAGAAGTATAGCAAGCAAATATTACTGATACGTATGTACCTTGGTATTTATGAAATTTGTCCACGTGTCGTGAAAGTCTAATTATTGATAAAGGTTAAAGAGAAAATATTATTGTTTTTTGCCTAAGCAATTCATCATTCAATCAACACGGTATTGAAGTTTAGAGAAACAAGCTCCATGTGAAAACTCATTCTCATCATGAGTTGACTTTCAATTTTCAATTAAAACGAAACATTAATTTTAAGTACACTCACAAGTTTACTTATTTATCTACACGTTCCGAGAATCATTGCTCCTCTCATTATAGATTAGAAAAAGATTACACCCTAAAATTACAAAACTTGTCTTTTGGGCCTTGAGCATGATGGAGATCCTTGGCCTTGACGAACATGTTTCCAGAAAATCACGAGACGTTTTTAGGGGTAAAAAAAAGGTTTAGATGATTTTAGCCAACAGAAATTGAGCCTAGAATTATATAGCTCGCTTACTCTGAGGATGAAAACTGGACAAAATTTCACCTTACATGGTAGGGTTGAAGAATAAATCGACTGAAAAATATTTGATTGATTCTCTCGAGTAAATGATTATGTAGCTGCAAAATTGACATCGAATATTTTACATAACACGGATGAATCTCTATCTCTATAACCCACCCAAAAAGGGGATTGTTTGTTAATAAAGATTAGAACAAAGGGTGCCAGGTTGGATCCATCACGGACAAGTTTTTGGGAGTGAGGTTGGAATTAGGTCGAGAAACATGTCCAAAATCCTTTCCATAAAGGGTTTTAAACGAAGAAGGAAATTGCCCCGTCTAACCGAAAAGCAACGGTGCGATCACATGGTATTGTGGGTCACAATCGCACAAGGTAACAAAATCAAGTTCTGCAACTGAAATTTATTGGGGTCACAAGGTACGAATGCGATCACATAATATAAAACAAAATGGACATTCTCGTCTTTTGCCCTTTGTTCATTCAAGTCATTTCCTCGAGCAATTTTCATCCTTTGTATTCTAATTGTATCCAATTGATTTCGCGTAATCTTAAATCATAATTTCTTAGTCTGAATCAACTTTTAGATATTTTTAATTTGATCCCTGAACTTTGAAAATCCTCATTTTTCTTCGATTTTCATTCATTCCTTCTAATTTCGCTTTTAATCATTGAGTTTTACATAACAAACAATATATAGAGTCGAATGGATATGAATTTTCATTTTCCTTAAAAAAAAAAATTAGCACCTGCTTGACAACGATTATTTTAAAACTCTTTTTTCTACATACTTATTTTCAGCTACGCATTTACATAATAAAATGTTATGCACGTAAACTAAATTTTTTTTCTTAATTTTTAATTATACAATCTCCAAAAAATCACTATTCAAAACTCAATTTTACTTAAATAATGATTATCAAATGAGTAATGCTATTTAACCCTACTGAACATCATTTCAGGTGCAAACACTTTAATTGTTCAATTAAATGAGTCATGTGAATTTGTATTTAAATAAATCTACAATTTTATGTCATGTAATTGTCATTTAAACTGGTGCTCAACTCAAGTGAGGATGAATAATATTACTCTTGGCAAATAAGGGCTTAATAGGACATGCACTTTTTTCCGACCGTATGAGGCTCATATGTAGTAGAACAATGCTGGTCTTACAGTCTTGCATCACAATCAGAGTCACAACATTTTGAAATTGCTGACATGGCAATGACCCGACCCAACAAATGAAAAACCGACCCGGCCCAATCAAGTGTTGAGAACCCCATTTCCCACCTTTTCCCCATTTCCCTTTTCCCCCAAATCTCCCCCAAACAACACCGTGAAATCGCGATCGGCTGCCAACCAATTGAAAATCGTCACTGGGCTTCCAGTCGATTCCAGCCACAGTGGTGCCCGCTGGTGTTGTCTCCGTCCTCCCCAGCCCTGGTCTCCCCAGTCGCGGTCGTACAAAATCGAAATCGTCAGCAAAGAGGCAAAACGGAAATCGATCGGTCGGTGCTGTCGTCGTCCTCCTCAGCCCTGGTGTCGCCATCCTCCCCAGCCCTGGTAACCTATCCATTCCTTTCATGTTTGTTGCTGGTCATTTCCTACTTGGGGCGATTACGGATTTCAGTTTAATGGTGATGGTCGGACTTTATAATTGTTGTGAAGATGGAGTCATGTCATTCATTATATAGTAACTCTAGTTAATTACATATAATTAACTCTAATTGGTTACTAGAGATTAGTTTGCATTCATCATGTTTCTAAGTCTAATTAGTTTGCTCTCGAAAGCAAGCCTTCTAGCAGTATATTGTTCCCTTGTACAGTGAAGTCAGTAGTTGAGCTGTTAAATTCATTTTTTTCGTGATTCAAAAGTTGGATGAAACTCAAATTTCTCATTTAGTTGGAGGTAATTGATATAACAGCATCACTGCCACCCATTCTCCTAACGCAAGAAGAGTCAAAAGCAATCACACAAGGTTAGTGAAGACGTTGAAGTTTGCCTGAAGAATATCCTGCAAATATGTTTCCTCCAGCAAGCACATTGTTCTGAACAAGGTAAAATGGAATTTTTGATTGTTTGGCTTGTATTTGAAATTCCCAGAGTTTAATTGTTGAGTTTGATTTATTGTTCAAAAACCTTCATGTTTCCTGCAAATAGTTTTCCTCCAGCAACCTTCATTTATTATTAAGTTGGATTTATTGTTCATTCTGAATGTTTGTAACGTAGTTGATTTTTGATTGCTGGTCGATATGTTCCATTTTCCTCGTATATCATCATAATAATTTGATCCTAAAATTTCAGAAAAACTTACCAGGGAGATCTTTCTCCAGGATCTTCCATTCCTCTTATATTCTCTTTGTCCAACCCTTTGACGGCTATATCAAATATTAAATATGTTTGTATGAAGGCATGTGAATATATGCAAAAAAGAAAACTATAGACAATACATGCAGAGAGGGAATAATATGAATCTGTTAAAGGTGAGCTTGCATGTTGCATATATGAACTATTTTTCAAGTAGTGGTGGTCAGAGTAATTTTCAACGGTGTCAACTTGCTTAAAAAGATTGAAATTCTGAACAATTTCGTTACGATTTGAACAATTCAAAATATGTGATTTGGTTTATGTTCTATGTTGCCTTTGTATGATTATCACATGTTGCCTTTGATTTGCAGCTTCGCTGTTGCCTTTAAGACAACTCTGATGGCAGGAAAGAATAGGGAAATTTGTCATAGTTGTAGACAGGTTGGACATATGCTGTCGGAATGCCCAAAAAAGATAAGATGTCCAAATTGTGGTGAGGGCTACATCACATGGATGGAGGTCGAAAAGAACAATGAACATAAAGGGCTACTATTTCATTGTTGTACCCACGACTGCAAGTATTTCAAATGGTGTAAAAATGAGCGAAACGATAAATGTCCATTGCACGATCACGGTGAACCTAGTGGCATTACAAACGGAACTGAGCCGATCGATGATTTGTCGCGTATGCTGAAAACTCTTGCCAAGCTAACGAATGAGAAAGACTTGGAGATTTCACTCAACATTAAGATATGTAAGGGGAAAAGAGTTTTGGATGACGTTAT